TCCAGATGATACAGCGCACTGTGCTGAGAAGAAGCTGCGAAATTGCGGTACAGTTTTTCCCCTGGCGTTGGGTAATGAATGTCCTTCCACTTTAGGGGGAAAGGAAATAAAAACCGTTTGGATTTTTCAAAAGCTAAATTTTCAGAAAACTATGGATCTGAGCCCTTTCCCCGATTCCCGTGCTCCCATGCTTTTCGGCGGTACAGCGCAAGACATGTGATAAATTTGCATTGCAATGATCACTTCCGAGAACGCCAATTACTAAACGCATGATTTCTTATCCATTTTTATTAACTCAAGTTTCGCTCATACGAAACATACACAGTTCATAGTTCCACGACCTCGCCTTCCCTATTAAGAATTGGTGGCGCTACCCCTTCCGTTGAGTCATTCCTTCCAATGTCACCGATCGGGGTCACCTGCTTGCGCCAGCCGGTGCACACATTTCTGTATGTGATGCGTGGCGCGTGGCAAAGGCAGCCGCTTAATCCTGTCTGGCGTCGCGCTTCATGCACACTTTTTAAGCCGGCGAATTGATGAGCCAGATGTTTCGACCGTCGATTGCCCGAGCGCCATGGCTTTTAAGGCGTGAACACATGCGCCCAACCATTCAACATTCTGGAAACCAAGGTGACGTTTGAAACGTTTATGGTCTAGCGCTAGTGGGATCTATGCGAGTGCAGTGAGCCACACACGTTTTGCCTTTGCCCTCAGAAACCTTTCTTTCTGTTTTTTCTTCTCTGCGCAGCGATTCATAGCGTGTGGTCAATGTCTTGCTCAACGTCTAGCTCATGCACCAGGGTTGGAGCTTAACTTGGCTTGCAAACAACCTGGATATAACTAGCAAATCGAAATAAAAACATAGCTAGCATGCGTGCAAACTGCGCAATGTATTTTTATATAAATTTATTCCGAATGGTTTGCATGGATGACTGGGTTCATGGTACCTGCTAAGCATAGCTTGTTGCGTGCACCCTGACCCCTCCACCCAAGTCGTACCGCTCAGTTCAACGGATGATTTTGCCTCCGCCCTTGCGCCAGACAGGAATGCCGAGGTTTTTTTCTGAAAAAGATGCTGAAAATTTACTTTGCTTGGTCCCACCGTCCGCCTTCCTGCTATCTCCCGGTGTTCAAGTTTGCTGACATTATTTAGCTTTGGTGGACGCGGGCAAAGACCTTGATCAGTGCACTATTTATCATTTTTAAACGTTTTTCCTAGTACACGCGGGAAACACTCGATCAGCTCAACAAGTCTGCATGCATAGACGCGTGATTGCCAGGGCACTCGTAGTTCACCGTGCATGTGGCTAACCTAACGAATCGCCGCCTGTGCTGCCATCTAGCAGACTTATAAGGAGGCTAGCAGAGGGCGCTGCGTTACCGTGAGTTCCCTGATGTCTGTTAAAGTTCCACAGCTCGTTTGCGTGTTGGCAAACGATGCACAGTGCCGGGCTCCGGGAATCAGCAGTTTGCATTTAAACATAAAAAATTGTAACACGCGAGGACCCGAGGGTCCCAGGGGCCCTTTAGGCGCCGAGAGGCAGACGACCAAGGGTCAGATCGAAAAGTCCGGGGGGCAAGCCGGGGACATGAAGGGACCTGTCAGAAGGCCGGACCTTCAAAAGTCAGTCAGAGGGCCTCTTGTACCGATCGATCAGGGGCTCCTGAGGCAGTGAGAGCCTCTACGTCGGTCACCTGACCGAGACTACCAACGCTGAACAGTCGGTTCCGCGTCGGTCTGGGTCCTGGGGCCCAGTCCTAAGTAGGGGCAGGTTCGGGGCCTGTAAATGTTAATCAAAAACCTCCTGAATTGGTCGGCCCCCTAAAACAGTGAAGAGCCCCTGTGCTTGTAAATCGTTCACAGACCAAAGTGTCTTACAGGGCACCCCGTGTCCACAACGGGCCCCAAGTTGGCCAGGGGCACGCTGGATGAGCAGGGAGAGGAGCGGGACTCCGAGTGTCAAAAGGCCTCTTGCGTTGTTCAGGACCTTCTTGACAGTACATGGAGGCATGGGAAAGACGATACAAGTGTTCGCACTCACAGTGAGAGTGACCTGTGCCAGTCGGAGGCCTCAGTATCGAATGAAGCGCCCTCGCACCGTTGCAACGAGGGGTGATTAGCCGTATTGGTGTCTTCATACCAACAATTGGACTCCCTGATCAGGTACGTGATCCTTTTGCGTCCGTGACGGTCCCTGTGCCGATACTGTGCCACATGCCCAGGCCCTGTCGTATCAGGGATGAGACCGGTATGTGACGTTTCCCCCTGATGGTCTCGGCTAACGACAAAATCCGGCGGCTCAGTCTTTAGTAATTTCGGCAGGATGGGATTCCCTGCTGCCTTCCCACCAGCAGGGGTCATTTGTTAAACGCGATGCCCCTCCCTTACCGTGACCGGCTGCGCCCCTGACCACATTTCAGGTCAGCGCGGTCAACGACAGGGGTTTGTCACCTGTTTTGCCCGCGTTTCATTTTATTTGAGGTTCTTGAAAGAAAGCTGAGAACCAATACACACCTTACATTGGACGATATCTATAGTAAGGTCCACCGCCGTCAGGCACATATGTATAGCGCGGCAACACTAGCAGCGTATGATGTTTGCAATCTAACAAATGCGAATTAAAAGGGCAGAAAAATGTGTGTTAAGAACAAGAGCTGGCGTGCCCCTTGCCATTTGTGGTCAGGCACTGACGTGACCAAATAGATATAGATGCGAAAATTGCAGATATACGAGACGACAATCTCTTCTTGCCGGGGTAGGATGGCCGAGCGGTTTTTGAGCACCTTTTGCTCCCAATTGGGGGCAGTGTTTGAAACCCGGCCTTGCCGTGACCCCTGAGCGCCAGGTTGGTTCTTGCAGTCGCCGGCGTTCCATAAAAGAGTGCGCAACGACGTGCCTCACGTTTCCTTTTTCTGGCAGTTCCATCTCAGGCAGCTGAAGCCATGTGGTCTGGTAAATTTTTAACTTAGAATAGAATATGATTTCACGCGCCGGCGGCACGGTATACCTATTAGTACCTATTATATATATATATATATATATATATATATATATATATATATATATTACTATATATATACCTATTATCCTTCGGTTTTTGGAACTGTGAAGCTCATATTACTTATGCAACACCCGGGCCACATTCCTCACTCAGATTTGGGTAATTTCTACACTACTTCAATATGCTCAAAACTTGCATCACAAACTTTCGTAATTTCCTTGTCACCGACACAATGCAGTTTACATGTTGCAGTGAGCGTAGGTGTGTTTTACTACAAGAAAGCATCTCGTGTCAAAAGCCCACGAATTTCAGAACCCTATCGATTTCTGCCACCACCACTTACGTTTCAATATTCGTGTCATGTTATGTCATATGGGTGGCATTACGATTTAGACATCGAGTACAACTTATTGCTTTTGCGTTTAACCACTCACTACGCTTCGATCACCCGCGTGCCCACCCGTTCTGCCAAGGTGAGAGGCAGGCAGTTCTGCCAAGGCAGGCGTCGTTATGCATTCTCAGTAGCATCGTAAAGCCCCAATGACCCACAACCAGTCGCAGTGAGGCTAGCGACCCACGAAAAGCAGCTTTCTGCTGGCTTCGTTGCGCGTAAGTTGACGATGGTTTGTCAGACGAGTCGTGTTGTGCCTGACTTCGACGGTATTTAGCAACTGAGTTTAACTCGTTGTGTCAATCTTCTCTGAAATATTGTTAGAGGGGTGCATCAGTCTCTGGGAAAAGACTGGCGTGCACCATGTGCATGCAGACCTACCGATGTCTGGCTCTCCACGTTGCACAGAAGACGATAGTTTCCCGATTAGAAAATAGGGATCTGAATATGAAACGACCGGATGCGGGGAATTCTTGCGAGAGGGGAGGCAATAAATTTCAGGACACCAAGCTCCAGTTCCACAGTGAGGCCGCATTCCCTCGCCGAATCCTGGGTCTCTCCAAGTAGTACGTCTGAAAAGTGTAAATCGTTTTATGTGGCTTCCACTGTAGCTGCGGGGCATCCATGACTCGACTAGTGGCCGCCGCAGCACGAGGCCGACTGCAAAGACGCGCTTGAGTTTCTCATTCACTCGCAGCTGCCTGAAATGCGATGTTTGTATCCCATTTCACTAGCACGGTGCAATAACTTTTTGAACTAATAGGTCAGCAATTCAGTTTTCCCATATTAGAGACGCATACAGATATAAACTGATATTCGAAATCTACATTCGTTTTGCTGAACTTTGAATTATCTTTGCTTTGAAGAACTAATAGAATGTTGGGCACCAGGTTCCACTTTGTAAGGACTCTGCCCAACATCGCGGGAACACAGCCCAAATTTGCGGGGGCCTAACGCTGCATTATGGGTGGGGGTAACTCGACATGGCAGGGGATCATGACCGCCTCCAAAGAGGTACAGTGTTCCACCCCTGGTAGGAGGTACAGCATGTGTCCCTGTAAGCTGGTGCCTCTTGGAGATGAAGAGACACCCGCTTTATGGCAGAGGTTTATGCCTTTTGTCTTTTTATGACGGAGACCGATGTTTGTGTCTTTTGTCTTTTTATGGCAGAAGCAGAGGTCTATGTCTTTTGTAGTGTCCGCTGTCCGCTGGAATTGGGCGCTTCTTTCAAAAAATGGTTATTGCGATCTAAAATGGAATTTTGCTACTTCTTTGCTGGATGGGTCGATCCTTGGTTTTGTCCAGTGATACAGCACAGGCACCGAGTCACGTCTAAAGTGTGTTGCCCTCGAAAATTTCCAAGATTTGAGGCCAGTTGGCTAGCTGCAGTTCCCTTGAAATTCGAGCCTTTTAAAATAAAAGCTAACTTGCGCCGAAATGAAGGTTTTGATGCCCCTCACTGTGAGATTTTGGTGTTCCTAAAGGACACTAAAACCCTTTGTGGGCCCAGTGGCGAGAGGGGGCATTAAAACATGCCCCCTCCCTTCTGGATCCGTCTCTGCTTTCGTTTGCGTATCTGCACACAATGCACAATGTTACCTTTCGAAATCAGAAAAAGACAAGCATTCAGATATCAAAAGTTGTTTTAAGTTGCATTGATTGGAGTCGGTACCAAACCCAGTTTCGAGAGATGCGTTTCAAACGCGTGAAGCCAGATGCTCCAGGTGTATGGGAACCCAGGTGGCATATCACGGAAACCACGAGAGAAGTTGAAGTTGCGGGATAAGTTGACGTTGAACACAGAAAGGCATTCACGTTAAGAATACGTGGCAACGCATGTTAAAGCCCTGAAAATCAACGCAAGACACCGGAGGCGAACTGCTCATGCAGTACTGTTCTTCATCCCTTGTAGGAGGGGAAGCACCTCGATCCACAGCCGTACGGACAGCAGATCTCCCCCTTGGCGCAGTCCTTTTGTGTGGTGCAGTGAATTCCTTCTATGTATTCGCACGTCGTGATGATGCCCTTGTTGGGTGGGCATCCTTTCAGGCCAGCTGTGGAAAAAAAGACCAGTCAGCGACTAACAAGCGCTCGTCAATGCTCTTTTCAATTGCATGGTTACGAAACGCTTTGCAAAGGAGGACGAGCACCAAAACGCCGATCATAGTAGGCACAACATACAAGTAAGTAACAATATTCAGATAAAAAGCGAAAAGAGCAAGAGATAAAAAAGCTTCACCTGCCTCAGAGATGAAAGCCGTGGCACAAATCAAGTTGATGATCTCAGGCCCCGCCTCATGCGAAATGTGTGACGCGCTACGCATGTGACGGCGCGGTGCGCGTCGGCGCCAAAATACAGCGCCTCAGGGCACGTGTGGGACCCGAGCCTTGCCTGAGCGCGGCGGCGCGCAGCGTCTCACTCCTCGGATGTTAAGGCAGCACTTTCGGACAAGCCCGCAGTCGGTGTCGACGGTGCAGTAGTGGATATTGCTGCCTGTGTTCGGCACGGCGGAAGGCGGCGGGCACCGGCCCGGGTTGGGGCCTGAAGGGATGCGTGTCAATCATTTATAAGTTGAGTTGGGGCGAGTAAAAACGCGTATGTCAAACGCGTTTTTGCGATGGATTAGAGACATTTTGATGTCACGGCTATCTTAACAGCATGGAGTTACTGATTTAGAAATAACAGCATGAGGGCAAGTAGCTGACATTGGTGCACATCTTCACATTTTACGTGCAGTTGAGGTGCCTTTCACATTTCTGTGGAACCTGCATAGCCATCCATTTGGTAATGTGAAGCAAAATTGTTTGTAAAAAGGTTTGCGAAATTTTGCAAACCGCGTGCCAAGCCTGGAATGTTTCTCATGTGATCCAAGTACGAGATACAAGCAGCGAAGAAACCTTTAATCAAATACTTATACCTCTGTAGCTCCAAAGTATGACATGATGAAACCGAAAGCCGTTGGTAGCGCGTCCATATCGGCAACATTACTCATATTGATAACGTTTGTAGGTAGCCGAGCTGGTTGCTAAAATCACTAGACAACGAGAATGCGTGGTCAATGTACAAACGATCCTGTCAAGGTCCGAGAGCAAACAACATCGCAACACCTTCGCTCCACAGCTGCACCATGCCGGCCTAACTCATGACATCGGTAGCTACACGCCCAGGTCAGACATCTCCATGAAGAGCTGGCAGGCGATGGTAAGGTCGGCCGACCTTACCAGCTGGCCGTTCACAGGCGGTGACGCAACGCTGCACACGACAGCACTTGTGGTCCCCCTTGCAGTCAAAGTCAGTTCTGCAGAGCTTCTTGATCTCGTGAGGCTCGCAAGCCAGCGCGATGAACGCTCGAGAGATGCATTTCCCAGGTTTTGCTGGAAACAAATATAGCGTAAGCACTTTTGAGTAAACCACTTGCGATTACATTGCAGATGCATACTTAAGACAAATACTCAAGACACGTGTCAGACATGAATACAATCATTTACTGAACTTAGAGTGCAAACACGGAGCGCACAAAGAGCGATAGATATCGTTGGTAGGGGCGGCCATCTCCTAGTTCAGCTCCCAGAACGGCCGGAAGGATGTTGCCCTGGTCGGCATTTTAGGAAAGCTCTTCGTGACCTGCCCAAATGGAATCAGGTATCATGGTTTTAATGAGCCTGTATCGGTTAAGTCCCGCGACTTTAGAAGCATGAGCCGATCCAGCTGCTAAGGGGATTAAATACCCTGAGAGAAGTAGATGTCATGAGATGGCCAGGGAACTGAAGACCATCAGGGTCCTGAGAAATGACAGCGCATGGTGGGTCGATTGAGGACCCTGAGGGAACCCGGTGCTCTGTAATAATCAGTACCCCTTACAACTAGTCAAGGACCCGGACTGCTAGATGTTCTGTTGACGTCCAGCAAGGGTCAATGAAGCTGCTGACGCTGATGTTATGGATGATAGTGCCTCCCTGTCACAGGTGCATGCACTGTTTGGACTGTTGAAGCGGTCCTTCGCGACTTCTCGGAGAACCTGTGATTAATTCATGAATTGTCGGAACAACGGAGCCCCTTGCATAATAGCAACAACCTAAGTGGGATTGCCGGTGCCCTGTTACTAACGAAATGGCCCCTTTGGCCAGCTGCAGACCCTGCGCCGCTGGCCAACCTCGTGTCCCAGGCTCCCCAATAATTGTCGGGGGCCCCTCTCAGCAAACGACATACCGATGGACTCAACAGTGTGAGAAAGCCATTCCACCATCGTTCCATCCCTTGAGCCGCGGTGGCTCATTCGAGGGTGATGCGATGGTCTCTGGGACGGTAGCCTAACGGGTCCCACAGTGAACTACGCTGGGTTGCATTGGGTCCGTAAGGGGCACCAGCAGTCAACAGGCAGTAGTCAGCAGTTAGCAGTGAACGGGCGAGAGTATATTTTTTGCCCCTCAAAAGTATTGGCAAGTCACATTTTCCCAATTTAAAACCATGTAGCTAGCCGTAGATTGCCAACATTGAGATCAGGAAGGTGCCGACAACTAAGCTGGAGTAACATATCTGTATCAGAAGACCATTTTCTACATTCGTTTTCCCGTTTTCCGGAGGAGGTCCGTTTTCTGGACAATGAGACCACGTCTATGAATAAGGTAGCACGTGCTCTAGATGAATGGGTCCAATGTTTCTTGGGACCACTTAAGGGGGCCCCTTTGCTAGCTCCGGAGGCCCCGTTAAGAAATAAGAGGTCTCCGTTCCGAGCTATGAGGCATCCTCTTCATTCAGGAGGCACCCTTCGTGGAACAGGAGGCACCTTTCATGCATCAGATGACCGCAGCTCCGGATCAGGATGCCCTGTTTTGGGACAGGCTAGATTTGGAACCCCCATTCGTGAATCGGATGCATCCTGCTCCAAACCAGGAGGACCCTCTATGCATCAGCAGGTCCTTTTCAGGGGCAGCTGACCCTGTTTTAGAACAGCAAGATCCTTTGCTGAGTGATCAGAGGGCCCCATCCTGGATTTTGAACTGTTGACATTTATTTGCTTGGGTGTGATGAACGCATCAATTTGATACGGGGCACACGCCATCGATGCCCCTCTCCTTGACTACGATTCTATTCAGGATTCCCCCTGTGAAAAGACTCAGTTTTGTCCAGGAGGCCCCCTGGAAACCGCAGACCTAGCCCGCGACGGTATTGCGTCAGCTGACCTTTACCCGCCGCTCACAGACCGGCTCACAGACCGACATACTGTCGTAGGGGCTGTCCGGGTGCGGCGTCACCAGAGGCCAGCTGGCGGGCGGTGAGTGACGGCCGGCACAACAGCTACGTTAGGCGGACACGGAGCTTTGCTGACCGGTCGCCACAAAGGTTATAACCGCAGACGAATGACACCAAAGGTTATCACATATGACATTACGGTGGTCGGATGTGTGGCGCCGCCAGCTTAGCAAATATCAGTGTCTAATGTACTTTGCCCTATTGCGTGTTTACTCGCAATGTCAAAAGATGGAATTTCGAGTGTTCCAACCACGCTCCATGTACGATAACGTTACGGAAGTTACACACCCGTAAAACGACAAAATCCTCCGGTAGTGGCTCACAGGTTCTCACTTAATCAGTAGCTATTTGCTGGCCAGGATAAATAAGCAGGATTAAGGCAAGTGAAGCGCAGGTTTATCGCCAACAATCACTTAACTACCATGGTATACTCCTTTACCCCATAGTGTATGATCCACTTTAAGTACAGTTTTCTCACAGTTAGGGTGCAGTTTATCAGCATCACATCAACGTACAGTTGATCGGCAAATAGCTTGCATGGCTGTAATACTTTCTAAGAATCTGGATATGTGATTGCTTAATCGCATGGGTTTTCTTGCAATGTTACATTACGGCAGGCACCTCATATCTCTCATTCGAGCAGTTTTTAACAAAGAAAACCCTAAAGAACCCATCTTGAATGCAGAAGTAAATATCAACGTCTCCACATTACAGCGGCACGAGATGAATACACGTTGAGCGAGGAAATAACGAGAAGTGAGATTGGCAAAAATGTGGGACGGTGCGTGCGTGCGGGCGGCAGGCGGACGATGCATGTAAGCGTGTCCAAAGATCGATGTCAGATCTCGGTAATCAGAGCAGACACCCACATGAAACTAACTGCACAGTGCAGGTAAGGATGTTCTTATCGATAGACAACCTGAACACCGTTCGACTGGTGGGTGCGTCGCAGTCGACAGGTAAACGAATAATTTCACACCTTTCATTTTCACCAGTTGTCACCTTCCACAAAACTGACCTCGATTATAAAATGCTGCGGTTGAGCCATATATGATAGACTGTGAAAACGGCATAGTACAGTTATTGTGACTAGCACGCAACGACAATATCTGCGCTGACCGGTTGCGCTCTATTTGTTTCTTTTTTACCGCAGGGACTGAAAACATAAACCATGCCACACCCACCGATTTCGTCGGTTGAGGCTTGACTATGATCTCAAACGTACCAATTTGTAAGAATCCCCCTTCTAAATTTGTGCACAAAAGCCAAACTCTATTGCCTTCTGCATGCTAATCTTATGAATTATGACTTTCCCAGCGCATTGCTACCACCGATTTGTGTGGGTTTCCCAAACCTGCAGGCTCTGTACACTCCTGTTTTAGTATCGCCCCCATTAGAAAACACTCTCAGCCGGCAACAGAACACCTCACTAATCCCGTACCCCAAAACGCGTCGCGCTGATTTGGCAGAGCCACTTCCGAAATAAAGTAATAAAAAATACGGGCAATGGTTGAATGGACCACACAAAGAATTAAATAAAAAACAGAGCTACATTTAAGGCATAAACAGTTCGGCAATGTTTCAGTACAATCCCATGACAAAGAGTCTTGCACCTGTCCCTTATTGCCTGCATTTGCAAACATGGAAAAGGTACTTTGAAAGCAGCACGTGATAAATATTGCGGCATAGTCCACTCATTGCTTGGAACTGTCGAAACTGAGACAAGTAGTTAAAGAAGTTTGCGATTTGCTCAAGCGTTGAAGAGCATCGGATGTTCCGGTGATGGTAGCTGACAGCCGAGAGGTTAAAACATGCGAATTAATATTCATATAGGCATACAGCAGCAAACAATCGGTGAATGAGTTAAGCTGACCAAGAAGAATCCCTTTTGTAACAACGAGGAGGTAGCTGAGGGCAAGGACAGCGCAGCAGGGGAGGCAGTGGTAACAGGGAGCAAGAGTATTTGTTTTCCTCAACCCTAATTTTGGGAGGCCTCTTTTTCTCCAACTAAGGACATTGTAGCTACACAGGGAGTACCAAAATTCAGATCAAGTAGGCCCCATTATCGAGATCGTTGGGAAGGCTCCATTCTGTTCAAGAGAACCCCTGAAAAGTCATGCCCCTCCAACTTAATACCCATGGCGCCGCCCCTGAATGGTAGCGAATAATGTATTTTTAAACTCAGACAAAATATCACTGATTGGCACCCCCGAAAACTAAAATCGTAATGCCTCACTAAAAGTGACAGACCAACGCATAAAATGACAGAACCCGGTTTGGCTAAGCGAGTGTAGCCACTGGGGACTGATAGGGGGACATTTCAGCAAACTTCTCCAGAACTGGTGGTTTGTCTCCTCCACTTTTGCCCAATGAATGCACGTTTTGACTTCTTTTTATGTCGAAAGCGTCATTTGCAGGTCAGATTGCCCCCACCCCCCCTAGATTTCAGCTTGATCTCTCCAATCGAGATTTATCTCACCCTGATTTGAAGGATGCGGTTGCCCTTTGGGCATAAGTGACAGAGCCGTAAGATATCAAAACTAGTAGGGCTGAAAATCCGCTGGAAGGATTCGGGCTTACTAAAAAGTGGCTTTTAAGTTCAATATGTAAAAAATGGAAAAATTGTCCCTTGATTTACATGTTGTAGCTGTCTTCCGGGAGTTTCTCTTGGCGCGTAATGATATGCAGGCCTTGTGACTGAAGACGGGTTCAGTGGGTGGCCATTACTGACGGTAGGTACGTTATCACGAGCGTGTTTTAGCTGATGATGTTAGGACAAAACACAAAGTGCAAAGCAAAAACATTTCAGATGCTCAAAATCTTCTGAGACTGGGAAACTGCTCTGTGGAATCATAAGGCCTGCTCTCTCTGGGAAAACAAAATCAGAAAACAAACATTTTGATAGACATAATCCCTCCAACCCAGCCAAGTTTCCTTGAACATTCAGAGCGATGCGGATGCAGCAGAGACACGAGCTGACAAAGCTTACTGGGCGGGTGGGAGGCCGAGCAGAAGCCGGCCAGCGCCAGCAGGCAGACGATGGTCAGCACCGAAGCACGCATCGCTGGGAAGTGACAGCTGTCCACGGCGGTGGCTCCCCATCCGCTGGCCCCCACCGTTT